CACACCTCATTATCCAGAGTCTTTAAATACATAATGGGCATTTTAATTGCAAAGTTGGAGAGTTGGAGATGGTGAATCCACAGCAAAGAGCCTCTTCAGTTTGCATTAGCGACAGATAGAAACCAGAAAGTGGTCTAAAATAATGTTTGAGACGGATACACATTATTAAAGCAGCAGTGAATATCACAGAACCAGGAGGACCAGACGACGCCCAAATATGGGCGAGTTTCCTGTAGATCTTTGTGAGCTCCAGGTGAGTTCTGCTGATGTCAGCGACCGCGCCGGCACAAAGCGCCACTGAGCACAACCATTCATTTGAATACTGCGCCATCTTGGATCACCGGGGCTTGGGTTAAGTGTCTTGCCCAAGTGTCTTGCCCAAGGACACAAATGATCATGGACCAGAGTTTACACATGGTAAGACCAGACGTACATGTAGGAGATGACCATGGACCAGAGTTTACACATGGTAAGACCAGACGTACATGTAGGAGATGATCATGGACCAGAGTTTACACATGGTAAGACCAGACGTACATGTAGGAAATTACCATGGACCAGAGTTTACACATGGTAAGCCGCAGCAGACAAAGTGCAGGAAAAATGCATCGTGTTTTGTCCAGAATTTACAGTAGATAATGGTCACTTTGAACCATGTGTGACTGGTGTGTTTTTACTGGTCCAACGGTGGGGAAATGTCAGTGTTGCGCAGCTCTAACTCTAGCATCAAAGAAACAAGTATAAAATCTGTCCATTTTACATTGTTCCTATGGACCATGTTAATTAGAGACGCCTACACACTTAGATCCTCATGAGGATCACAAATAGGGTTTTGAACATTTCCCAAAAGAACCAAAAGAAACAGATAAAGTCTTGTTTGTGCATCAGGATGAATAGTGGACTGTGTTGTCGCGGACGGAGGATGTGTGCAGCCGATATGGTTATCAAATAATGAGTTAGCTTTGTGAGATACAGTGTGTGTGTGTCTGTGTGTTTTTGTGTGTGTGTTTCTGTGTGTGTGTCTTACTGTAGCCTGTGTGGAGCTCTCCTGCAGGTCCCAGAGCACTGCATGGTTATCGGCCAATGAGATGAGGCGCTTCCCGTCCCCCATGGGCTCCCACAGCACACTGCCAACACACAGAGGCACATATGGTCTGTACATGAACAACAAGGACCAGGACACAGGTGTCAATCAGACACACACACGCCTGGGTTAGTGATACAGCTGGGTTATATTCTTCACACTCATGTTGGACTAAAAAGTTAGTGTTCTTAAAAGTAAATTTAAGGGCAGTTTTGGACCTAATGTGTACCTTCAGGACAGATTGGCATTTCTTTCCATTTCTTTCCACGGATGATATTTTTCAACATATTAAACTTAAGGTCGAGGCACAACCTTTAAGTAAAAATCCCTTATTTACTCGGGACAGTCTTATATATTACTCTTTAATTTTATATACAGTGCCTTGCGAAAGTATTCGGCCCCCTTGAACCTTTCAAAATTTCGCCACATTTCAGGCTTCAAACATAAAGATATAAAATTTTAATTTCATATGAATCAACAACAAGTGGGACACAATCGTGAAGTGGAATGAGGCCAAGAGGCCCATGATCACTCTGGATGAACTGCAGATAACTACAGCTGAGGTGGGGATGGTGTGTTCAGGGTGATGAGCTGTGTTGCTTTTACGACAAACATATCGTTTTGCATTGTGGTCAAAAAGTTCCATTTTGGTTTCATCTGACCAGAGCACCTTCTTCCACATGTTTGGTGTGTCTCCCAGGTGGCTTGTGGCAAACTTTAAACCAGACTTTTTATGGATATCTTTGAGAAATGGCTTTCTTCTTGCCACTCTTCCATAAAGGCCAGATTTGTGCAGTGCACGACTGATTGTTGTCCTATGGACAGACTCTCCCACCTCAGCTGTAGTTATCTGCAGTTCATCCAGAGTGATCATGGGCCTCTTGGCTGCATCTCTGATCAGTCTTCTCCTTGTTTGAGATGAAAGTTTGGAGGGACGGCCGGGTCTTGGTAGATTTGCAGTGGTCTGATACTCCTTCCATTTCAATATAATTGCTTGCACAGTGCTCCTTGAGATGTTTAAAGCTTGGGAAATCTTTTTGTATCCAAATCCGGCTTTAAACTTCTCCACAGCAGTATCTCGGACCTGCCTGGTGTGTTCCTTTGTCTTCATGGTTCTCTCTGTGCTTTAAACAGAACCCTGAGACTATCAAAGAGCAGGTGCATTTATACGGAGACTTGATTACACACAGGTGCATTCTATTTATCATCATCAGTCATTTAGGACAACATTGGATCATTCAAAGATCCTCACTGAACTTCTGGACTGAGTTTGCTGCACTGAAAGTAAAGGGGACCAATAATATTGCACGCCCCACTTTTCAGTTTTTTTTTTTTTTTTAAGTTTAAATTATTCAATACATTTTGTTACACTTCACGATTGTGTCCCACTTGTTGTTGATTCATGACAAAAAATTAAAATTGTATATCTTTTTGTTTGAAGACTGAAATGTGGCAAAATGTTGAAAGGTTCAAGGGGGCCGAATACTTTCGCAAGGCACTGTATATATACTGTAAATATATTAGTGTAAATAAACAGAGAAAGTCTATTATAGGATTTCTGAATGAGACCTTCTCCACCGACTCCCACTGATGACTGCTGTCGTTGTGTCCTTGGACACAACGACACTTAACCCCACTTTGCCTGAAGCCCCCACTGACAGATCAAGGCTATGCCATAGAGCAGCCATCCTCCTGGACTCAGCACCTGCAGGAGGACCAGGGAGGGGCTGCTGCTCTGACTGCCACCCCCCAACCCAGGAATGGGAAGAAAATGGATGAATGAATGGACTATTGAAAAATAGCCTCCTTGGCTCATTCTGGCTTTTTATTTACTGATGTTTAATCATGTGTTTTATTAAATTGCATCTTTGAAATAAACTAAACTGATGTTCGTCTCTGTTCTTGTTGTGTTTAGGGAGGTATAAGGCTGTAGTCCAGACGAGCGTGCTGGATTCAGAAACTGCAAAATTGCAAAACGGGAAAACAGTGAAAAAATAAGAGTATTTTATTTACAGACCAGTGTTTTATATCAACCCTCTGAATTAAAGATGAAAGAAAAATAATACAAACTAAACTGAAACTAAGAGCCAGTGAAAGACACATTTGCTGCAGAATATATTATAAAACAGTTTACTGAAAATTATGAGGAAGTTAGAAAACATGACGGAAAGACAAATGAAAACTACTTTAAAACATGTTGCATTGCGCTGAATAGATTTGAACGTGGAAAACAAAAGTATTTTATGAAACAAAACCTAATTTATGACCATTCATCTCCCACACTCCATAGAAACACACTTTTTTTGGGTAAATCCCGCACCCCAGTTCTGTCAATCAGTGCAGTTCACACAGAGCAGTGGGACCGAGCCTCCTCGGTCTTAAAGAAGAACTAGTCTTTTGCTGCATACTTGCTTTGATATCTCCGACGGACCGGTCTCTGCAGAATATTGATTCTCCACATGCTTCACGGAGTCGGGCTCTGTGCTATACCTTCTACCTTAAACTATGTGTTTTGTGGCTGAACATCGGGGATTGCACCAGAGCTGACACGCTTGGGGCTAAGGAGTTGCTTTTCCTCTCCCTCGAGCTGATTGGACCACGTTTGTTTGTTCCTTCTCTGTAACTGGGGTTGGTTTAGCGGCTTAATGAGGGAGTTATGGGATGAAAACAAGACCGCGATCCAAGTGAGAGTAAGTCTGTAACGGCTGTCAACTGTTAGAGCCTGCGTCATGAAGCTAACACATACAGGTAAACAACAGAAGTAAGTTTGTGTAAGCCCTCAGTCGTACAGGGATTAGTCAAAGCAAAGGAAGGTTTCTCACCCACCATCTGTACTTCTTAGCAAGTACTTAGTATTTGCTAAGTTTTGCTAAGAAGAAAACTTGCTAAGAAGTACAGATGATGGGTGAGAAACCTTCCTTTGCTTTAACAGAAGTAAGTAATGATTATTTATATAGCACATTTTTACAGAGCAAGGTCACCCAAAGCTTTACAAAGTTGAGATATTGTTCTCTCCACACAGTGATGACAGAAGCGAGTCGCCGAACACACTGGTCCAGCAAAGCCTCCGACCAAACACCATCCAGCCATCCATCCATTCAGATCTATTGTACATTATGTTAGTGGTGGGGAAACTGCAGCACCCAGAGGAAACCTACGCAGACACAGGGAGAACATGCAAACTCCACTCAGAAAGGCCCTGTTCCCATTTGAACCCAGCGTAAAAGTGGAAGACACAGAGGAACTAGCAGCCTTCATCGATCGCTATTTTGACAACATTAGCAACAGGGGCTAGATCTGCAAACTACGGCTAAATCCAAACCATCTAAAAAAGAGGAAAACGGATTCTTCCAACAACTGAGATTGAGGTTTGTTTACTCAAAAGCATCAATCAGAAACTTGGACTGTCCCTTTAAGACATAAGCCGTAGTTTAGGCTCAAACCAATACAGTACAACTGAACATTATGTATGTACAGTGCCTTGCGAAAGTATTCGGCCCCCTTGAACCTTTCCACATTTCGCCACATTTCAGGCTTCAAACATAAAGATATAAAATTTTAATTTTTTGTCATGAATCAACAACAAGTAGGACACAATCGTGAAGTGGAACGACATTTATGGGATCATTTAAACCTTTGTAACAAATAAAAAACTGAAAAGTGGGGCGTGCAATATTATTGGTCCCCTTTACTTTCAGTGCAGCAAACTCAGTCCAGAAGTTCAGTCAGGATCTTTGAATGATCCAATGTTGTCCTAAATGACTGCTGATGATAAATAGAATGCACCTGTGTGTAATCAAGTCTCCGTATAAATGCACCTGCTCTTTGATAGTCTCAGGGTTCTGTTTAAAGCGCAGAGAGAACCATGAAGACAAAGGAACACACCAGGCAGGTCCGAGATACTGTTGTGGAGAAG